AAAAGGAAAAAAAAAAAAAAAAAAAAAAAAATGCAAGACACAGGAAACAGAATGAGAAGTACTATAAAGGATGTTCTCGAAGTTTTGTGATACTGAGTAACTGGGGGAAGGCCTTTCCGAGGTGACATCTGAGCTGAGACATGGAGGATGTAAGGACTTGACCATTCAGAGAGAAAGGGGAAGAGTGTTCAGGAAAAGGCAGGGAAGAGGCCCTGGAGCAGAAAAGGGCTTGGATCACGGGAGAAACAGAAAGAAGCCAGTGTGACTAGAGTGTGACGAGCCAGCGAGAAAACGGAAAGATGAAGCTGGAGGGGTAAGCTGGGGCCAGAGCATGTGGGTCCTTGCAGGCCTGAGTGAGGGGTTTGGGCTTTATTCCAAGTACAAAGGGAAGCTGCTGAAGGGTGTTTTGTTTAAAAATTTTTGGTTGAAGTGTAATATGCAAAGTACACAAGTCATAACTATATAGAAGCTTAAGGAATTTTTTCATGAACGAAATACTCCTGTGCAACCAGCACTTAGATCAAGAAACAGTGCTTACTCTTCTGACTTCTAATAACATAGATGACTTTTTCCTGTTTTGAACTCTTCCTTAAAGGAATCATATGCCCGTGCGCTCATGTGTCTGGCTTCTTTCGTTTAGCCTCCTGTTTGTGAGATTCATCTGTGTTATAGTGCATGGCAATAATTCATTCACTGTGGACGCCTTTTATCTGCAGGGTGCTGTGACCTGAGCTAAGATCTGGAAGGCTCATTTGGCTGCTGTGCGGGAACAGACTGTAGAGGGACGAAAGTGGGAGTAGGAAGGCTGGTTAGCAGGCAAGAGACGTAGGTGGCTCGGTCCAGGGTGCTGGCTGTGGAAAGCGGGGGAAGTGGTCAGAATTTAGATGTATTTTGCAGATCAATGTTGTAGAATTTATAGACAGGTTGTGTGGGAGATGAAAGGTGAGACTTGGGCCGGCCGGTTAGTTCAGTAGGTCAGAGCACAGTTTTGTAACACCAAGGTCAGGGGGTTTGGATCCCCATATGGGCCAGCAGCGCCCCCAACCCCCCGAAAAGGAGGTACTTGAGATTAATGAGGTTTATCATTTAGATTCCTGAGTTTCTCTCTTGAGAAAATGGGGAGGTGGCAGGCCTTTTACTGAGATGGGAAGCAGAGTGAGGGACAGATTTTAGGGTGGAACGGGGATTTCCATTTTGAACATGTTATGATGAGAATGCCACATTAATATAGGGTGATCATATGTCCCGGTTTGCCCGGGAAAGTTCAAGTTATGTCTGTGGTTCTAGCTATTTAATAGCAGCTCCTTTTGCTCTTAGAAGTGTCCCTGTTTGGATGATAAATGACATGTCCATCCTACCTCTTGGGCATCCATGTGGAGGTGGTAAGAGTAGCATTACTGGGCTGTGGGTTTGGATTTACCCATCTTTAATGTCAAGTAGGCAATTGGATATTTTGGTTAGGGCTGAAAGTGCATATCTGGGCGCATCAGATGCACTTAAAGTCACAGTGCTGGCCGAAATCAGAAGGAAGGTATAGATAGAGAGGAAAAGCAGTCCCAGGATCAAGACAGCAAAGGGGACCAAAAAGATGGGACATGTGAGGTGGGAGAAAAATGGAAGGGTTAGGGTTCCAGGAAGGAGGAATAGTCGCTCTGCTGCCTGCTGCCAAGGACAGAGGAGTCCACTTGGTGGTCAACATGAGGTCACCTGTGAATGTAGCGACAGCAGTTTCAAAGGAGAGGTGGGTGCACAGCAAGTCTGGGGTTAGGAGAAAACAGGAGCTGAGGCAGTGTAGACACAAGAGCAAATAGCTCTATCCAGCGTGGCTGTGAGGGAGAACCAAGAAATGGGCTTCAGGGGATGTAAAGGAGGTGTCTTTTAAAGAAGGGAGAATAGAGGATGTTTGAAGGCTGGAGAATGATCCTTCACGGGGGATACACTGATTCTGAAGGAGATGGGCCACCCGAGGGAGCAAAGTCCTTGAGGAGAACATGTGGAGGCCTCCCCTTGGGCAGGAATAGGACACATTCCTTTCATGGTAGTCAGACGAAACAGCAGTCTTTCTTCTTTATAATATATTATGAAATAATTAGGACAGACAAAAAGATATAATGAATCACAAAACACCACTGTCTAGCTTAAGAAATATTCTCAATATAGTGACAGCCCCATATTTCCTCCCTCAGTCCTTCCCCCGTTCCCATAACCACCATCCTAATTTGGTTTTTATTATTTTTATGTATTTCTTTTTCTTTCACCAAGTAAGTTTTTATCCATATGTAATATATAGTATTGATTTGCATGCTTTTAAGCCTTACATGAATGTATCATACTGTTCCTATTCTCCTGCATCTTGTGTCAGTTCACACTGTGAGATAAATCTGTGTAGATACTTGTGACTTCACCTCAGATGTAGATTTCCCACTCTTTTTTTTTTTTTTGTCTTTTGTCTTTTTCCGTGTCCGGCAACGGATCGCAACCCTCAGTGTTGCCCCCGCGCCTCGCTCAGCTAGTGAGCGGGAACCGGTCTGTATGTGGGATCCGAACCCTCACGTGGGAGCGCCGCTGCGCTTCCCAAGCGGCGCACTATCCAGTGCGCCACCGGGCCGGCCCCCTAGATTTCCCACTCTTTATCTAGTCTCCTGTTGATGGACATTTAGGGAGCTTCCACTTTTCGCCACTACAAACAAAGCTGCTGTGACATTCTTGTATATACTTCCTTGTGGACACCTGTGGGCATCTTTTTAGCTCACACGCTTAGGAATGGAATTGCTGAGTTGTAGATTTGGGCTTGTGCATCTTTCACTGGCAGGGCCAACACATACAGTTATTTACAACTTTGACATTTAATGCCAGATGGTTCTTCAAGGTGGCTGTATTAAAATATACCAGCAGGGCATGACGATTGTTCATATCCTTACCAACACTTGATATTGTCAGATTTTTAAATTTTGCCAATCTGGGCCAGCCCGTG